GCGAGTAGGATTAGAAAAATAATAAAAAAAGGGGGGGGGGGGGGGGAGGTCCAGAGGAAAAGGAACAAAGACAGTGAAGTAGCAGTTTCCCTCTCCTGAAGGGAAGAGGCTTAAAAGAAGTGAAACAGTCTTTGTATCTTTAGTTCTTTCAAATGGCAATGCTCCATCAAACTTAGTATCTGGGTGTCTTAAGTAGCTGTGGTTTGCTCTCCAGGACAGAGAAAGCAAAGGGCATAATGTCTTAGATGCTTATGCTTTTTTTTTAATACAAATACATCATTGAGAAGGTAGAGGGACTTGACTTCTTTGGATGAGCAGGTGAATGAGGCTGCGGTGGGTGGCAGCAGAGGAAGACCTTTTACAAGAGTGTCTTTGCTCGCCTGCTACAAAAAAAAACCTAAAAAAAAACCCCACAAAAAGAAAACTTAGCGTCTTTGTGGTGGGGGAGAAAAGTAAAAGATTTTTTTTTTAAGTCTGGCTAATAATTGAAGAATCATGTAGAAAGAAGAAAAAAACCACAAGAACATTACACTCAGAAACAAAACTAAGAAAAATACGTTCTGCACTTGAAGACTGCACAGAGCAGAGTATGTTCTGTAATAGGAAACAAACTGTGGAAGGAAAAAAAGTTTTAAGAGAAGCGTAGGAAAACTTGTTGGATCTCTAACTGTAGTACTTCATAAAACGTCCAGATACAGCAAACACTGCATAGTACATAATGGTTCTTTTAAAATACGTGGCATAGTTTTTGCGCATTCTCTGAAATTCAAAGCTTGGCATTTTGAATGTTTTAGCCTGAGTTTGTAGGTTTAGTATTGACAGGCTCTCGTGACGTGCTATTTTTTTATCTGCATCGAAAATGTAACTTTGACAGACTGTGCTGTATGATGCACAGTCACCATCATGAAAAGTGTAATTGTTCATGTAATGTATTTATAACAGGCATTTACCTGCTGTGATAATAAGCACTGTACAATCAAAAAAATGGTATAGCGACGCTCTGTGTGCTTTTCAGATTGTACAAAATATACATCTGAACTGAGACAGAAATAGCAACTTTAGTTATAGCTACAGTACAAATGATTCATACAGGTGACTGAGGAAGACTTTCAGAGTTGTCAAGCTGAAAGCTGGCAGCTTAGGTTTTTCGCATATAGGGACTTCGTTGGAGATAATGTATTGTCGCAGAAGGGTGTTTTACTAGTTTAGGGAAGCGGTGCATGCATGGTAACTGCCAGGCATCTCCTTAATGCTGCACATTTTGAGTTTAGGTCCTGCTGTCTGCCAGTTTCAGTGTACTGCTGCATCAGTAACGGCATGTAATAAGCCTGCCATTACATTGTTTGAAGTTCAGTCTTCCTGGGTGTCTTGGGACCACTATTAAACTATTTTAAATGCGCGTTTTCAAAAAGTAAATATAAATGCAGAGGATTTTTATTAGGATTTGTCATTAGATTAATGAATTATTAACTCTATAGAACAGTTTTTGGTTACTTATTGATGACTGATGGGGATTTTAACCAATGTATATATGCATGCCTCCATCAGTACCCCAAATTCTTAAATGTTAGATGAACATAGCAGTTCCTGAGATGTCTTGCCCTTCCTCATGTCCAAGTGAACGAGCGAGCCTTCTCCCGGGAGCAGGGGCGCAGCTCTGCACTGATGTGAGTCAAGAATCTGCAGACACAGAACCAACTCGGGGACTGGTTCCTTAATCACCTTAATCTGATTTAACTGCAGGCTGCTGCCAAAAGGAGTGGCGGCACCCTGCCCGGTGCCTCGGGCTGTGTATTCCACCTGGGGTTCAGTTGCTGTGAAGCAACTACAGGATTTCACCTCTGTATCTCTGCATTTGGGAAGGACTGATGTAAGGCATTAATGAAAATTGTCCTGAAGTAGAAATTCCTGCTATATTTATCTTCAGTAATTCTTATACTGCTGTTCTTGAGCTCTGCCACAGATCTTTCAGTTCATTCAAATCTGTATTCATTATAGATAACGTAACAACTGTACTATTCTGTTCTAACTCAGTCTTGAGCTGAGAGTGCCCATAATGATAAATTCTGTAAAAATGGGACTTTAACTGTGGCCTACAAAGTTGCTTTCCTTCACAGCGAGTTCAGATTTTACATCTGTGCTTCCATATGTGTCGTTGACTTCTACTATACATCTTAATTTACCAGTTCATGAAAAAATACTGGTAGTTAAGTGTGAACACTGGGAGTCTTTTAATGAAGATCTTGATGATTCTGGGAAATTTAGAAAACAGTTGGAAGTAGGTCTGCTTTGTTGGGAGCATGAAGCATGCCTAGATTGTGCAGCTCCCTGAGGCAGTGTCTTTCTTTTTATGGCCTCACCATGTTTCCTCCCTCCATAGAGCTACCAAGAAAAATCTGGTGTTGTAGAATACTTGAATAGATCCTAATGGGATTCAAATCACATTTAAATATTAATATTATAAAATGTCAAGAATGAAATATAAAGAGAATTAGGGGAACAATCAGATTAGGTGATATACTGCTTTGACTTGGGAGGACCTACACTGTCATTCTTAAATGGTGCTATAAGTTTATAGCTGAAAGATTACTCCAGTCTTTGAGATAGTACAAGTATTTTGAACGTTTAATGTCTGTCTTGAGGATTTGTAAATGATCCAAAAGCTCCCTGGTCCCGACACTTGGAAGCATTGGTCAGTTGTTACTGAAATCAGTGTCAGTACAGATTAAGTTTCACCCCCCTTTCATAGTCATGTGTGAAAGACAGTGGAATGGCTTGAGGTACGTGTTCTAACAAAAACATAACGAAGAAAAACCGGTAAATAAGCAGCAAATGTCTCCTTTTTTTCCCCTTCGTATCATGCAGTGGCAGAACTTTGACAGTCTCCCATGTGAATGCAGATGGTGGTGGTGCTGTTCTGGTGTTGACGTCAAAGTATTAATCTGATGTTCTGTTGAAAAAGACATCAATCTCTGCCACTCTGTATGGAAAGGAAGTAAGATACTACTCAGGTATAGATTGGTATTGAAGATGATATCCTTCTCGCCTCTTTCTTTGTGTATGAGAACGTTTATTCATTTTAAAGAACAGGCCCTTTCTCCTAGATCAGGCCAGGTTGAAAAGCGAATTAGTCGTTTGTGCCACTTTAACAGCATAGGCAGGACTAGTTCTGCTGCGGTGTGGCCTTTGCTGGGTGAAGGGTGACCGGGGTTGTTGAGGCACGTTGCCCTGGGACACAAACTTAACTTTAAATGTCACTTTAAGATAAGTAAAAAGAGTTTCCTGGAAGTTTTAGAGCAGAAAGAAAATTTTCTCAGAAGGAACCGGCTCTTATTCGACACAGGGCCCTACAGGGAATGGCTTGCTTTGGCAGTGGTAGCATGGTTTTACTGAGAACTTGCGTGTAACTGGACTTGTAATTTTTGTTCTTTATATTCTAGCTGCTATATAAAAAGCAGTATGTTTTGATAAGTAAAGACTTTTTTGCATAGTGTCTGTTTTTACCACAGTCTGATGGTATATATGCTGAATATAACAAAATAGCTGAGATACTACCTGAAAGTAGGAATAATCACGGGGATGCTGTCATGTGCTCATAGGAGGAGGGTTCTGAGCGTAACTCCACTGTAGGAGAACACTTCTACTTTACTATTTGTTTTTCAAAAACAAGAGAATAAACATAGCCTGAGCAGATTGCACTAAAGTCTGACTTAGGAGCAATGCTGAGTGAAGAATTCTGCTCAGAGAAACAAATATATTTTAACTGATAATGCTGAAAAACTGTACAAGTATGATGGTTCCGTTTTTTGATTATGCTCCTCTAATGCTGCTTTTTTGTTAAAGAGACTTTAAAGGGTAGGGATCTTGCAGGCAAGCAAGACAGTAAGAAAGGAACATCCTTGAAGACAATGTAGTTACATTAGATACTAAGTTTTGATACCTTGGATGATTTTATTATTGGTTTTGATACAACATTGTTCTTTTTTACTTCCTGTTATTTATTTCATTAGTCTTTTGTCATACTTCTAGTGTAGATATAGTTACTGATGTTTGTGCTAAGGTGCTTGCTTTTCTACAGTTCAGTTCTTCCTTACGTTATTAAAAAATGCAGGATTAAGCAGGGTATGAGGCTCGGAACAGTCTTTAGATACACATCTGAAGTAGCAGCGGGACTATAGAAACTACTAAACTGGTAAAATTACTAATAGATAAATTTGACCAATTTCAACATGTGCCTTCCTTGAAATTAATAGAGAAGGTATTTTATTGGGCAGCTCTGAATTTAGCACAATTTTTGTGGCATGGTAAAACACACACACCCCCCCAAGGAGTTTCCAGTCACAAAACAAATTTGTAATTTGTTCGAAGTCTGTCTCTTCCCTTCCTCTACTGCTGGATGGTGAGCATGCTTGCTGCTTGCTCTCTACCACTAGATGTTGCTTTTAATTTGTTCTGTTGGGGAAGTCTGTCTCTTCCCTTCCTCTACTGCTGGATGGTGAGCATGCTTGCTGTAATCCCTCTACCACTAGATGTTGCTATATGAATGATTGATATAATCTTATCTGATGCTGGATGGATTAATCTCTTAAGAAAAGGAGGAGATAATCACTGAAACAGTATTACTGCCTATTCTGAAGTTAGTATTTTGAGACGTTTGCCTGAGACATTTTTAAAGTTTATTGGCTATGTTACATTAGTCATAAAGATTGTTTCTCTCTTGTATACCCAGCAGTATGCTAGTCATCCAATTAGGCAGGCTTTTCTTATAGAGCTCGTGGTCTCAGTAGTGAGGAAAAAAGGCAACAAAATGTAACTCAGCCAAAAAGGTTTTTGCAGGAACTCTGTTCCGTAGCATCTGTGGCTTTTCATTCGATGAAAGATGGCAGGGGAAGAAAATTGCTATACATTCCAGCATGAGGAATAATCACTTTTCAGGGGAAATTTTTGTCTTTATTTCACTTTGGCTGTTTTTTAAGCACTACCTTTTTGGTGGAGGATTACTTACCTCCTGGGGGGTTTGCTGTGTTTATTCTACACAGAAGTCTACAAATAGAAGAGCTCCATCTTATCCTAAAGAAAAATTTCATTGCATGGCTTGTGTAAACTCACTGAGACTGAAGTAAAGCTGGAAAGGAATCTACAAGTGAATAAAACAAGAAGTTTGGAATTGGATTTGGGGAATCTGGGCTTGGAAATGCCTCAGGTAAGTCTGTTATGATTTTATTTGCTTCTGTAAATAATTTTGCTTCCTTACTTAAAAAAAGAAAAGTCTATGAGCAAATTTGACTGGCATTAGCAGGGAGAAGTTATGAGAGATTAAATGGTGTATATTTTTTAGGGTCCCAGTAGTGTCTATGGTGGAAGCTATGTTGCCGCTCTTGGTACTGTATTTGTTCACACAGCAAGATTCAGCAAAGTTGTCGCCTTGATGAGGGTGGATGCCTGGAGAGCAGCCTTTTATTACTGCAGTGATTCACACTGAATGACTTTCAGCAGTACAGTGTTTCTCCTTTCCCAACCCTCAGGGCGAGTGTGTCTAGAAGAGAAATAGAGGTCTGGAATTAAATGTAGCAGAAAGCCTTGCTGCCTGTTCCCCACATGCCCAGTCATCCTGCATAATGTTTTTTTGGAAAGTTACACTTCGTTCTCAAGAGAGAGAACGCTTTTGATTTAGTTGTAGTAAATTTTGCTTTTGTTACAATCTCAGGTGAAAGTTTTATGAGTTCTAATGGTTCTAAAAACAGTCAACACTGCTTTAGTACAGAACGGTTTGTATTAGGGTGAAGACCCTGCAAGCATGTAGTGCCTGTTGATACTCAAAGATCTTGCCAGTACTCGCTCCCCTCTTCTACAAATGCTAACATATCCCTAAACTTGGCAAACACATGAGAATTTCAAACCAACAAAAAAGAATGAATGAGCAATGCTCTTGCAGCTATATGATGAATACAAATGTGTCCTTTGATTAAAGAGCTGCATCTTGTTAGCTGCTCTTAAAGCATTCTCTTGCTCTGAGAAATGACATGCTTATCTGTGTAGGTAAAAACCTTTCAGATGCAGGTATAGCACAAGTTCAGAGTTGGATGAAATGGCAATTCTTTTCATGTTTTGTTGAAGAAAAGAATATGCCTTTTTATAGCATGCTTCAAATGTCAGTATCAATTTTTTTGTAGCCCAGTGTGAGTGGAATGGACCCTCCTTTTGGGGACGCCTTTCGGAGCCATGTGTTTTCAGAGCAGACTCTGATGAGCACGGATCTCTTGGCAAGCAGTTCAGATCCAGACTTCATGTATGAACTGGTAGGTCATATTTCTGTGTGTGTACATAACTTCCTCGCCTTGACTAATACCCTGAGTTTGTGTAGTAATAAAGGGGTATTTCCTCAAGAATGCTAGAAGATTATTTGTTACTGCTAGCTACTGATTGGGGAAGAGCCTAACTGCTTGTCCAGCAAATATGATGCTTCCTCAATAGACGCTTGTTAAAGCTGGCCATCAGGAGAGGCTTGATATACAAGTCTCAAATAGAGCTGTGTTGACGTTATGTAATGGTGTTTGAGACTCTTCCTTACAATCTTTTCTGCAAGAGCAGCTTTATGCCACATCACCCAAGCTGTGAACGCAGGGGAAGCAAAATAAAAGTTGACTCATGAGCTACTTACACTAGCATTCTTCCCCCCCACCCCACCCCACATCAAAGGAGAAAGGTAGCTCATAGTCATTAATTGATCATGTTAGAACGAGGTTTTCCAGGGACTGGTAAACTTGAGCATATTCTGTTAAGCACACAGCAAAGATTGACGTAGGTTAACAGAGACTAGCAGCTTGCCTGTGATGTCTTTCATATTTTAAATACATGGATATTGGTACTAGTCTAGTTCCTGATGACCAGATGAATTTGCAATAGCAGAAAAAGAATCCAGCAGCATTTGACTTGTACCTTTAGCAATCTCTTCAGAAGGATCTGCTGCTGAAGCATGGAAGCTGGACTTCATTCTGACCCTCAAAAGAAGGTTGTAGTTGGAAGTTGAGGTATCTTTGTATGTTATCACTCTCTTACATGTCACTGGAATTAAGCTCACCGTACTAGATTAAGTAGAGGACAGAGATGATTAATACTTTTTTGGTATTAATTTTTAACTTGTCTTATTATGCACAGGACAGAGAAATGGACTATCAGCAAAGCTCCAGAGACAACTTACTTTCAATGGAGGACTGCAAAGACCTTGAGAACTTGGAGTCTTTTACGGACATCCTGGACAAAGAAGCTGCTCTCACCTCAAAGTGGGAGCAGTGGGACACCTACTGTGAAGACTTAACTAAGTACACTAAATTAACCAGCTGTGACATCTGGGGAACAAAAGAGGTGGATTACCTGGGCCTTGATGACTTTTCAAGCCCATACCAAGATGAAGAGGTGATAAGCAAAACACCAACACTGGCTCAGCTTAACAGTGAGGACTCCCAACCTGTTTCTGATTCGCTCTATTACCCCGATTTGCTCTTTAGTGTAAAACAAAACCCTTTAAATTCTTTGTTACCTGGCAAAAAAATTACAACCAGAGCAGCAGCCCCAGTGTGTTCCTCCAAGAACGTTCAGGCTGAGGCACCTTTGTCGGACTGTGTTCAGAAGGCAAGCAAACCTGCAACTCAGCCTGCTTCCAGTACACAAATCATGGTGAAGACCAATGTGTACAATAATGAAAAGGTGAACATTCATGTTGAATGTAAAGACTATGTTAAAAAGGCAAAAGTAAAGATCAATCCTTTACCACAGAGCAGACCAGTGCTGAGCCAGGCACATGCTGATGCAGCAAAGGAAAACACCTGCTATTGTGGTGCTGTAGCAAAGAGACAAGAAAGAAAAGGAATAGAGTCCCCGCATAGTCACAGTACGCCTCCTATTTTGCCTTTTAAAGAGACTCAAGAACTGCTCCTCAGTCCACCCCAGGAAACCCCAGGGCTTATTGTGGGAGAGAGCAGTCTTTCTGCCAGCACGTCAGTGTCAGATTCTTCACAGAAGAAAGAAGAGCACAACTATTCTCTTTTTGTAACAGACAGTTTGGGTGAACAGTCAGCCAAAGGAGACCCTGAGGAAGATGAGGATGACGAGGACGATATTGAAGATGAGGACCATGATGAAGGATTCGGCAGTGAGCACGAGCTGTCTGAAAACGATGATGAGGAAGAAGATTACGAGGATGATAAAGATGACGACATCAGCGATACTTTCTCAGAACCAGGTACCAGCAATGTTGGGCTTTGTTAACGTGGAGGTTAATGGATTTGTCTGCCAAGTGGGAAGGAATGCTTCTGAATGCTTTATAGTTACAGATGAGAAACACTGATCTTAAATTATGAACTTTCATCCCAGATTTTCTAAGTGCTTTGCAAAATGTAATTAATGAAAACTATACAAGGTCTCTATTGCCCTGTTTCGAGAAAAACTGCATAAACTGTGGTCATGCAACAAAAATAATAATAGAGAATACAGGAAACCTAGCTTGTAGCCTGAGGTTGTAGAGCAACTACCTGCAATTGCTGTCTTCTTTTTTCGTGGCTTGATGATAGGATGTGCAGAGCTTTCTAGTGCTTCAGTAGGTTGCTACTTTGAATTTATCCAGAGTTGTATCTCTTGATAGCTGGTATGAAATCATAGCCCGAGTGAAATAATTTCATAATTACTTAAGTCCTACTGTAGGTACAGTTATCCACAGAATCCAAAGAATACCTACCACTGAAACTAATAGAACCATTTCTTGGTGGTTTTCAGCAGTAACACTTAGTGGGTCTTCAAAGGATACTGAATTCCTCTCTTCTGCATGTAGAAATGGAGCCCTAACAACAGAAATAAGAGCTAACCTTCACCTAGAAGGTAACAAAGCGGTAACGTTGTGTAAAAATAAAATCTGAAGGGAAAGGGACAGGACTGTAACCAAGTATTAGTTTCATTGTAGAAAGTGTTATAATATTCACATTTTATAAATGCTTTGTAGTAGAGTATAAGAATTAAGGTATTCAGACATTTGGCAAAATGTAACTTTGGGTGGGAAAGCAGCTGAAATTTTGCCTTTTTAAACACAGCAGCTTCTCTAAAGCTTGTCAGCGTTTGTCATAATGAACTCTCAGATTAAATTATTTTCTCAGTAGATTTCCTGAGTTGGCATTAAACTTGTTAAGCGTTATGCCCTTTATGTTACCTTTACATGTACATAACACATTTTTGTTAGCATTTTAAAACCTCTTCCTCCCTTCTGAATTGAACTCCCTCTACTTTCTGGGGCTTTGAGTAGCTATTACAGCTCTGTAACGATTGCTGTACTGCACAGTGCTTTGCAGCCCACGGAGGCATGTTGCACAGAAAGCCTGGTAACCCTGAAAAAGAGATGTCGTATTAAAATGCTGGGATTTCAGTTCATGGAGTTACATTAACTATTTGCTGTTTGTTCAAATTTTACTGACAAGCAATCACTCTTGCCTTCTAAATACAACTACGTCGTGCAGTACTGTAACTGAGGAACTTGGCTTATACAAGCTTGCTAGAACTTTAAATGAATGAAGCCATTCACCTCAAGTATGGTGATATTAAAAGTTTCACTGTATGTTTTGATTATATTAGAAGGTAATGTCTCCAGGTATTTTAATTTTGTAACTCTTGTACTTTTTGTTGCTTTTTTATCTTTTAGAGTAAAGCTGAATACTATGGATAAAGTTTCTAAAAATAGGCATGGGACAGGAAGATTTAACCTTCCATAGTACTGAAACCACAATCAGTTGATAGAGTGAAGATGTAATTTACTGAAAGGACAAAAACTTATTAATTATTGCTGCCCCTCTGATGTATTTTATACACAGTTTGCTTTTGTTTATTCTTCTTCATGTATGTTTTTGGAGTGCGTGAAATGCTTTCTTAAAGTGTTTGTGTTGTCTGAGGAAATACTTAGATATAGCGAGCTTCAGGAACTTGGAGAAATAACTAAAAATGTGACGGGCTGTCGGGCAAGTTTCGGCAACAATGATTTTATTATCACCATGATACAGATTTAGCGATTTTGGTCACCTGCAAAGGTAATTTATTAAAGGAATTATCAGCCCAGGCCTTTTCTAGCACTTAAACTTTTTTTACCGTTACTAGTATATTGTACCTATCTCATTTAATAGAAATATTTGTAAATGACTGCTTCCCCCATCAAGTAGTCAAGAGATACCAGAAATGCAACAACTGATTCAGTTTGCAGTAGCACTGGAGAAGAAATAGCTGAAAGGGAAAAGTGCTTGTAGAGGCATGGAGATTGTTTAAAGAAGTTGCATTTCATCTATTTTGAGCACCTGGACCATCAGCTGGGGGAAAAAGACTCATAAATGGTTTGACAGAAGTATGCATAAATGGTAGAGAGAAGGGTTTTTCTGGTTTTGTTTTGGTGGGGCTATTTTTGCTTTTAATCTGGTAAGATGCAGAAGTCATGTCTATCCTGTTCTCTGTTTTACTTAATTTAACCCAGGTGAGTTTAAACCTAAAACCATACTAAGGGATGTGAACAAAGATTTTTAGGAGGGACTTGCAAAGGGCTTGAAAGGCAAATACAAGAACCCTTTCAGATTTCTTAGAAGCCCGCCAAAGAAAGTGAGACTGCTGTATGATCTTTAAGAAGAGGAGAATTCAGGGAGGATGAATACAGTGCAGAAAAGCTAAACAAATTTGTTGCATTCCTGTATGTTACGGACTAGGTTAGGACATTGTGCACTAGATTATTCTATGTAACTTTAAAATGATAGCAGGTCAATGTTAGAGTTGCAAGGCAGGATGCATTAAGTCAATATAATTTAAGTTGCTAACTTAATTATAGTTTAAATAAGCAAACAGGAAGTCTTGATTTTAACCTTGTTGTACATTTGTACACATCGGCTCTTAAAGAGATTTGTTTTCATCGGTTGGCTTAATTCTGTGTTATGAAGATGGGCTAAATTTATACATATCTATATAATGAGTTCCATAGCTTGATAGGTTTTTTCCAAGTGGAAAGTAAGTGGGGGTTTTAATAGTATTTTGATACTTATGTCAAACAGCATTTGGGTAAAATGGAAGTACGGTTAAAAATATTTACGGTATTTGAAACTGTATTTAATGTAAATTGTCATAATCATTTTGGCTATACATGAAAAAATGTTTTATAAAGCATGTTTCATTGTTTGATAGCTTGATAGGTTTTTTCCAAGTGGAAAGTAAGTGGGGGTTTTAATAGTATTTTGATACTTATGTCAAACAGCATTTGGGTAAAATGGAAGTACGGTTAAAAATATTTACGGTATTTGAAACTGTATTTAATGTAAATTGTCATAATCATTTTGGCTATACATGAAAAAATGTTTTATAAAGCATGTTTCATTGTTTGATTTGCCTTTAAAATACTGTCTTCTTAATAAACTAGAGAATCAAAGTAAATGAGTCGATGAAATGATTAGAAACAGAACTTCAGAACTGATTTCATCCTTCTGTGCACCTAACTTTTATTCATACTTTGGGTTATGAGGTGAGAGTCAGACCAGAGCAAGAAAGTTTGTTTTTCCTCTTTCAACTGGTTTTTCAAGTGCAAACAGACTAATTGAATGGACTGTTTTAAAAAGAAGAAAGTGTTCTTTGTGCTACTGTTAAAAGATGAAGCAAAGCTCAAGCATATGGGTTCAAAGCTTGTTAAGCTTACAGTCCGTTCAGTGGTAGGCTTTTCTTTAAGCTTCATCAGTGTATGTGATGTTTTGAAATGCATTCTTTTTTAAGTAAATGTAAACTATTATATAGCATTTTCGTACAAAAGGCGATGCAGTAGTTTGGGGTTTTTTAACCTTAGTATAGGTTGTCTTTATTTTCTAAAGCATACGTAGGATTTTAAAAACTGTGGTTTGTGTTTACGTAATTACGGTATAAATATTTATGCCATGTGGATAGTGGCATTACAGTTTCTATGTACTTCACGAACAGTTCATCATATCAAGTGCATCGTAATATACCTCTAAAATACTGTGTTAGCCTTACTGTGGATCATTTCTCTTCATCCCACTAAAGAGGTGAGGAAGAGATTGAACAGCTTGTGTCCAGATCCCTTCAATTTAGATGTTCTTTTCTCAGGGGCTTTAAGTCATTGTCCTGATAACAGAGCCCCCTTCCTCTAGTCTAATAGAGATGGGTGGTTTGATTTATTTCCTGAAGGTATTCAAACTCAAGGAAGAGCAGGAGTTGGACTCAGTGATCCTAATGGGTCCCTTCCAACTCAGAATATTCTATGATTGAATAATTTTGCTTTCTTTATTAGTGTTTTACTAATCCATCTTTATTATCTGCTTCTCTTTCCGTGCTTTTTGATTAGAGATTAATTAAAATGTGGAGGCGAGTTAGGATTATGTTCCTGCAAATTCATGGAGAAAATTGTCAGGATGGCAGAACACTCTCCAACAGCTGTTGTCTGTACTCTGCAGTGGTGGGATTGTGGGGGAGAAGAGCAATAGAGCTTAAGGGGTCAGAGAACATAAAGGGGCTTTCAATGCATAAATAATTTGTCTCTTTTCAACTAATGAAGCACCATCACTGGTGCAGTGTCTGTCCCTGGATTTAAGGCAAGTACCCAGTAGTAGCTGACGCTGAAAACCAAGTCTATTAGATAATGTAAAACAGGCCTCGTCTGTGGTTTCGCTTTTGACTTGAATACTCAGTCCACCGTTAAAGGGCTAGAAACGGTTTTGTCAACATTATATAAACAATGCAATGCATCCTTTTAGGGTATGAAAATGATTCTGTGGAGGATTTAAAAGAAATGACTGCAATATCCTCTCGGAAAAGAGGCAAGCGAAGATACTTCTGGGAGTACAGCGAGCAACTAACACCATCACAGCAAGAAAGAATGCTGAGGCCATCTGAGTGGAATCGAGATACGTTACCAAGTAACATGTATCAGAAGAATGGTCTCCATCATGGTGAGAATAGACTCCTAGTTACAAGTGAATGTCTTTCATTCTGACACCTTCAATAGCCAAACTCCCATACTAGCAAGTGCTAAGAAGTTGTGGTTTGGCCATGAAAATAAATGGTTAAAACACTGCAAGTCTGTTGCTCAATTAGCAGAGTTCTGCACAGTGTCCAAGGAAGGCACAGTGAACATACAGTAGTAACTTTCAGTGTGGTTTCTTCCAGAGGAAGGTGGATGAATTGAGAATTGTAGCTTCCAAGGGCTTTCAGTGGAAACCCCAAGAGTTTGACATTTTCTCAGTGTGATGCTGTAAACATATTGGATGGGTCACTTGGCTGATACTTGCTCCTCGTAGCTGTTAGTTTCAGTCTTGCTTGTGTTAGAAGTAAGCTGGAAGTGATCTGAGATGCAAAGTTCACGTTAACTGCAGTGTGAACTAAAGGACAAGCAATAAGGCGTAACTCTCTTTTTGCTCCTCCTTACTTGTTTCTCCCACCTATGTGAATGCAGCACAGTGAAGCAGTTACTCTTCTGTGAACAAACTCTTTCTTTAAAATACCCTCTTAGAAATTTAAACCAATTGGTCTAATAACTGTGTTTTATTCCTGTAACTTTTTGATTAGCAATTTGCTGTACCACACGCATGACTAACATCACCCAGAACAAACCACTCTTAGGGGTAATGTTTGTTCTTTTGTTACAGGACCTCTTTGGTAGGCTGCTCCGTTTGATTTTGGCTTTGAAGGAGAAAATGAAACCAGCTTCCCTGGTTGTAATGTTAACGTTCCCTTAGTTGAAAATTACTATCTTTAACATGGCAGTTTACCTTCTGTTAAACCAAAAGATTGTTTTATTGTTGTTACTTGTAGATTTATTCAGGGAATAAAACTTTTTTTTTTAATATCTTTATTTTTTATATGCTTATTTATCTTGTAGTGAAATATCAGTACCTAAAGTCCCTAACACTGCTCCTTCTTATGAAGGCTTATATCTATACTTGTTATTAACAAATAACCAAACACGCCTTGAGGACTCAGTCCCACCAGACACTTGGAGGAGCAAGTGACCTTTAAGTCAGGTGCATATGCAAGGGATTTGTAAGATCAAACACTACTTAACATCCAGAAGCTACAGAATATAACACATGCAGGATTTTTTTATTTTCACATAGACATGTACCACATCATGTACTACCTCAGATAAATCATGCTAAATTATCAGCTTTCTAATAAATATTTCTGGAGCAGGTATTTCCTCAGGAAAACCAGACCTTAAGTAGCGTCAAATACATATAAAAGGGGTTGACTAGCCTTTTTGTGGATCATTTAAGCTTAGTGTCACTGAAGATTATTTCAGTACCAGGACTCAACACTGTTTCTTAATACAGAACTTCAGCAATAAGGTTATTTAGGAATTTAATCAACTTGAGTGTGCAAGAGGATATATTGGCTGAACGCACGAGTCAGCAAGTTAGAGTTGGGGCAAAACAACTGGGTTTGAACTTGTGACATACATTTTTCAGCACAGTTGTGTGTATAGTCTTGTCACATCCAGTAGCCTGTCCAGCAGTATTTGCTCTTGTCTGATCTGGGTATAATATGAATTGTACAAAGCAGTTTGGAAGTGCTCTTTCTATTGTGAAAGGCCATAGGGATCCCATTATTCCAGTCCATTCTCTTGTAATGAACAAAGGAACTGCACCCAAAATAATACATATTTAAGAATGTTTTTTCGCAGGTTTGTGTACATATTGTGTCACTTCGCAACCAAATTTTCTGCATATTTAAAACAGGAAAATATGCAGCAAAGAAGTCACGGAGGACTGATGTAGAAGACCTGACTCCCAACCCCAGAAAACTTCTGCAGATTGGTAATGAACTGAGGAAGCTGAATAAGGTGATCAGTGACCTGACGCCAGTCAGTGAACTTCCCTTAACTGCCAGACCGAGGTCAAGAAAAGAAAAGAACAAGCTGGCTTCCAGGTATATATTTGATAACGCTACACGGATGAGTAAATTTGGATTACTACCACTGTACGATTAAGATCTAACTAATTTTTGCCTCGAGATCCTGCTTCTGCAATGGGCTAATTACCAGTTTATCAAAAGGCAGGGCAACTGGCACTTTGGAGTTGTAGTTTGCCTGTTCCCTAGATAATGATGTATTTCCACTGGAAGCTGGCTTACTTAGCTGCAGGGCAAATGATTGATACAGTGATAAAATCCGTAAGTGTGAAATGTAAGGAAATACAGGTAGCAGAGTGCTTTCAGCAAAGGTGAGCGAGTAGATAGATGATTTTGTACGTCACAGCTCTGGGAGTACTGGTTGATAAGTTCATGTGGCAAACAAACAGATGCTCTTAGTATTCTGGAATTTTTGTTAGTGTTCTAATTCTTCCCCTCTTCTTACTATAGGGCTTGTAGACTAAAAAAGAAAGCCCAGTATGAAGCCAATAAAGTAAAACTCTGGGGTCTCAACACGGAATATGGTAAATACAACTCTTCACATCTTAATTTTTCTATTGTTCAGACAAGTCTGTGTTTTGCACCATCATGTAACCTGGGTCATACCTGGTAGTTTATAGAGAAAACAGGGTTGGTACAAACCCAACAATTTTGTTGGTACAAAAACAGTCCACTCCATAAAGTGTACGTAAGTTGGGTTACCTGCAGTGTTGAGCTACTTTACAGATGTAAATTATGTAAATGTATGCACGTAATGTAAATATTTTTGAAAATATGTTTACAGATGTAAATGATTACATCTTAATTTTACAGTAAGTGTGATGTGACACCTTTGACACTTACAGATAACAGTGTGTGGACAACTGTGGATCTCTCTTGCTCCGGGGGGAATGTGCTGTAAATCTAATCCGGTTTTTTTTTCTTTGCAGATAATTTACTGTTTGTGATCAACTCCATTAAACAAGAAATAGTTAATCGGGTGCAGGTACCTAAAGATGATAGAGGAGTCAACATGGAACAAAAGTTGAACGTACTTATTAAAGACACTCTTGGTAAGCAGTAAACTTAATGTATTTGCATGTATGTGAAGAGACATATAATCTATGATACGTTAGGTTGCAAGCAATTTCTGGAATAGAGCAAAGGAAGAAGTGCTTCCTAATTTCAGTTGTCTATGCCTTTGGGTTGGTTACTAACCAAAGTGTTCACTGGCTTTGTATTACTTACAGGAATGTACAAATACGTGCAATGAATAGTAACCTTACAGCACGTTTTCTTACCCTCCCTTTTTAGGACTACCTGTAGCTGGACAGACATCAGAATTTGTGAATCAAGTTTTAGAGAAGACTGCAGAAGGAGACCCCACCGGTGGCCTTGTAGGGCTACGAATACCAATGTCAAAAGTTTAAGACATGACTTCAGCTGTTCTCATTGGTCAGATTCTACCTGTGTTGTCAAGTACTTCATTGTAAATTGCATTCTGGTCTGCATGTCAGTTTAGCATTATGTAAGCACTTACAATTAGGTTCCATTGTTTTTAAATAACACTGTAGTAAAACAAATCAAAGCATGATATAAAATGCTTAACAGCATTTTTGGAGCATAAACCAGATAGCTTCAAAGCTGCTTTAAGCTTAAATAGAGAGATGAGGATTCTTTTTAAAATTAAGTTCTCTAGGACCAGAATATATCACTTTTATTTTAGAAGCAAAAACATGGTTTTGCTAGTAAAAATTTTTAGCATATGCCAGACATTGTGACAGGTTTATGCTCCAAGTAAAATAAGAGGAAGCGTTTTTTTGGTAAAACTGTCAATTTAGGGAGTTTTTTGTTTTTGTTTTTAAATAATTGGATTTTCTTTTGTTGTTCTTGCAAAACAGTAAGCTTTCTTTGCAACCATTAACTTGTACATAGCACACATGGCATTAGAGCTAGTGTGCCATATAAGACTTTAATTTTCTGAGCTTAATATAGTATGTAAATGTCTGTGCAAGCAAGAGAAAAAAAGCATATTCTTTGTGCCTTGTATTTTGGGGGGAGAGCTATCAGTATAAGCTGGTAAAGTCTTGTATGAAGAAAACCCTGAGGGGAAAAACCAAGATGTATAGATGGTAAGATTATAGGTTTTAATGTATTTGTTCCAGCTCTTAAAATTTTTGAATGTATATAGGAATATGTTGAAAATGTAGATATATGCCACAGAGTCTATGTATTGTATAAAAGATGGCTCTAGAAAACTCAATTTCGGTACTTTGGCCGGAAGAAAACAAATACTTGCACATTAATGCGATTGTTTATTTTTGTACCAAAGACAAATGCAACTGATATGGCGAACTGCCAGTCTAAGTAAAGTTTTGCACAGCTTATATGATACTGTACTGAATGTAAAAAGAAAAAAAATTAAAGGTCAGGGTTAGGGATCTTACTGAACTGTGAATTTTTTTGTTTGGGTCCAATTATCTACAGAAGGAGCATTCATACATAACAATATTATTTTGCTGTTCTTGTAGTTCGCTTCCATGGTAGATAAGTTGGTGGCCGTCTCGGAGTCTTTAAATCTTTTTTCTCTGCACTTACTGTAGGAGATTTTAATATATTTGGATTTTAGTAAGCTATTGGTAAAATAGTTTTCAACTTTGAGAATTTAAAAAAAATATTTAGTTTGTTGTAGTATACTTCCACCAAACAACCAAAATAAAATTATTTTTATTGTAATGTGTATATATGTAAAGAGAAAAAAGAGCTACAAATATCTAATTCTTTAGTTGCCACTTTTCCAGTTGATGTATTATTATGCATGTGATGTTTCCAAGGATCAACACAGGCTTCAAACAAAACAAAAAAAAATTTATAGACTTTTATATTTTTGTACAGGTATTTCGAAACTAGCTTCTTCAAACTTATATGTGACTTATTCTTGTTAATTCAGTAGTTTCTATGATTGAGGAATATTAACACACAGTTCTTATTTGCTCTTCTGCTAATAAGAGTTGGCTTTGTAGTCAGTGTTAACGTACAGATTAAAAGCTTTAGCCTTTGATGAGAAAGTCCTTTATCTCAAAGCAAGATCATTCTCTGGTTTCATGGACCCCCCCTTTTCCTCCCTGTTCTTTCTCTCCCTATTTAAAGATGACAAAACACTGTTTACTGAAAATAGAAATACCAAATATTTTCAAATGTAGCTGCTGAAAAAAAATGCAAAAGTCCATGAAGGCTTTCTCCCCACTCCCTTTGGGGAATTTCTCCACTTCATTTCTAGTTTGTCTAAGTTTGTTTGTACTGTGATTCCTTTTTGTTTGTAAGTAGATTATTTTTATATCCAAGCTTGTACTATAAAAAAAAGTCTGAATCGGTAACAGTGCAGTAAGAGTGGCCGATGAAGGTGGCAGTCCTGCCACATACTTGTGAGTGTGCACACGGCTTACTTTGTATCTAAATATTTTTGGAAGACTCAAAAGGGAGGAGGAGGCCAAAATACCACTACCAAGCTGTACAGAAAGTCTTTCCTACAAGAGACTGAACAAATACCCAGGGCAATTTAGGCGAAACTTTGTAAATCCACTTAAGACTTGCAAAATCTGAGTGGAATGTGGGTGGTTTTGTTTCAGGTGTTTTTGTTGTTGTTATTAGGGTGAGGCGAGAGTCGGCTGCTGCTTTACACAGTGGGTCAGATGTATTCCTATTGTAATTATTGCCGATGTTGCAGTTATTCCAGAGATGCATACGGCCCATAAAACCCCGACAAAGAATGTCTCTTGTGAAGTTAAGGCCATGGCTGTACCAAGATTTGAATGCTCTTGTTCCTTTCTGATGAATGGTGTTCACACACTGCTCAGATACGAGAGGTCCTTATGCTATATCCAAACTGTGTAAACAAGGCAGCGTTTCTAAACATTAAGCGAGCAGTTTTGCAATCAGGTAAAAACTTCTGTGAGAAATTAAACTGACAAGGTGTTAAAAAGCCCCTTTTTTACTGCTCAGAAATACTGGGCAAATATAACTTTATAGCTTTTTAATTTTGTCTGAAAACCAGAATATGATTTTGGTCTAGCATTTCAAAGTAGACTTTGAATCTTTAGTGAATTCCATACCCTTGCATTTCAGTGTTTTCTATGTATTATTTTAAGTTAAAGCTTTTAAATAGTTGAGCTTTTTAATGTTGACACTTTATTTTGTACCTATTTATATGTATGTATATCTTAGAAAAGCACTTTGTTTAAAAAAAAAAAAAAAAAGAAACTGCGTTTTATATGATTCCTGCCACTTGCTGCTAACTCTGGGCTGGTCAGAATGCTGCAGCGATACTTGATATAAATAAAACCTGGCAGTAAAATGTAGAGTAAAGATAAGACCTTTTGCTGGTTTAACTTTATCATAAAGGTGACATAGGCAAGCTGTGCAGCTTTACATTTTAACCAGGGGACTCTGTGGCATTTAAACCGTCTAGAAATGGTTGTACTTTAATGCCAGTAACAATCTGCTTCCTCTAGTGTCATTAAAATATATACATTTAGTGTATACTTATCACAAACAAAAATCTTATAAGGGTATAAAAACCAACAAATGTACATGTTCTGTTTTTTGGCAATTGTGGCATGCATTTTTGGATGATCTTTAGAGAAGGCAATTTTCTAAAGATTTTTCAGTGTTCATACATGGTATGTGGATCTTAATGAAGTCCTGGATTTTTTTGTTTGTTTTTGAGTGTAGGCATTGTGAATGTTCACTTTTAATCCTATATCCAAAAACAATTATACATTTTTGATTTAATACAAACAAAAGCTCTTCCTTTTTCTGATACACTGGATTCTCTAGAATTTGTTTCCATATTAAAAGCATGCTGTCATAACTGCTCTTGTTGAGATCTCGTCAGTCTGAACTTAGGTGCCACACTTTGAATTGATGGACTGCTTGTTCTACTGTACCATGTATGAGTCGCGTCCTTTCCTACTTCCTTCATGACAGATGATGATGTGGCTTTATATTGTGCCTTACTTGTACATCTAGAACTAAATGTTTTTCATTCCCTCTGAACTCTTCAAACCTAACCCTTCTGAAATTGAATCAGAACTGATAAAAGCATCCTGAAGAAAGTCTGGATCGATCTGATTTCAGTTTCTCTCAGTAGTAGTCCTTTTGTATTTATATGGAAGACCAGTTTTTGAATAGCCTTGCAAAATGTGGGGGTGCTCATGAAGGGTGTTTTTTAGCCCTAAACCCCTTTTGCTAACGCTTCCTTTTATGGTTTATTGAACACATTTACTGATACTTGGTGAGTACTTTTTTTGGATGGGAGAGACTTACTACTAAAGCTATGTTTACGTGTGGATGGGCTGGATTTTATTATCATACCAGTTGAAATCATTGTGATTTAATGAAGTTGCATTGCTGTAAAGCTGATGTGAGAGTCAGGCTCAGCTGTGTTCAGTTCCTAATTCTTTATAGATAGACTTTTTTCCATATTAAGAGGGCCAGGAAAAAGTTTTTTTAAAAAAACAAACAAATAAAAAAAAAACTAAAATGGATGAAGGGTCGTTTAACTAACCTAAAAGAAGCAACCAGACGCTTCTGAAATACAGTGGTGTCAGTTTTGATTTTATTTTAAAAAGATCCCCCCCTAATATTTATCTGATATTTGCCTTCATTAATAAAACAGTTAGCTTATTCACAAATATAAAGACTGGATGTGCGTTTCTTTTCCATAAATCATTTAAACATAGCTATTTTTTTTAAAGCTCTAAAAGGCTTTATCAGGAGAATTTCAAAGGGTTGTATACAAGTTGCCTTCAGCAGAAATAGCAAATGCAATTCTGTTCCTCAAACGTGCTTGCTAGTCTTCCTGAAATTCTGTTGAGGCATAACCCAATTATGTACCGTGAATGTTAGGATCTGTATTTGGCCTTGAGACCTCAATTTCAAGAATGCGTCTAATCATGATTTTATTTTCTCTTTAAGTTGGAGGCTTCAGTTGGAATCATCTAGTTAAGTGTGCTGCTAGATGTGGTCTTGGCTTATTGACACAGCCTTGCACACAGCTGAGGTTTATTTTGTTTACCCCAGGGATCGTGTGAAGTACATTTCAAGCAGTTACTGCTTCAGTGACTGATTCTTCTTGTAACTGTATTAAGGGCATTAGTATGTTGAGAAAACACCACTCTTTAATATCTCCCAATATAAATTGGGATTCTTAAATGTCATTAATGAAAGGTGGCACTTGTAGGTTATATCTTCTTTGCAGCATACAAAAATGTCTCTATCTTTCTACACTTTACATTTCACAATATGCCATGTTTTTTCCCCCAATGCTTCTAGCATGATAAGAAGGTGTGTGTGCGCACTGAATTATAATCCTCAGCCTCTTAGACATTCATGAACTTCCACAAGAGCAAATACTGACTATGCATTTATTGTCTTTCTAATGAGCTGCGGAGCTAAAAGTGGAGCCAGAGCTATTTTAAGCCACACTTCCCCAACTCCAAACTTTTTAGATAACTACAGTGTTCAGGGTTTTTCGTGAGTTAAGAATATTTTGTAGTCGGGTATCTGTGTAAGTCAAATTTGGGTGAGTTAACGAGCTACTGTAAGGAAAACTTCTGGATTGGATTTGGTATTGGCAAAAGCACACTCCGCCCTATCAAAATCTTCTGATTAAGAAACAGAACCTTGTAGTAGCACTTAATTTTATTTATCTTTCTTATCATGATGGATATTCATACATTCTGATTTGAATCATCTATCCTCCCAGAATATTATGTCCAAGTAAAACTTATTGCTCAGTATTTGTGGTTGGGTGAACTCTTAAGGCTGATGGCACATGCGGACGTAGGTGGTTGACAGGCAAAAAAAAAAAAGCATTTTAAACAAAACTTGGCATCCTGTTCTGCCTATGCTTGGGGTCATGATTGTAATGCTGTCCTTGATATTCTATAATCAACTTCCAACTGGAGCTCAGAAAAACTTACTGAAAGTCTTGTCTCTGTTAGAAAATAAATTTACCTTGTTAAAAGCATGATCTGTTAAGAGTTGCAATGTTTAATGTTGGTTAATAGTTGTGCGGTTTTTATTTTTTTGAAAAGAGGCACAATTAAACTATTGACTTTGTTTACTCTGTCACCCTTGATCCCTAGCACTTCTATTCAGATACAAATTCATCAATGTATGCAACATCCTTTGTAATTTAAAATAAAAATTGTGGAGGAAATATTGTCTGGAATCATGTTATGTGTGGAGTGATAGTGAATAGCGTATGCTCCCTTGAAGTAAATGCCCTTGGTCTCCTGCTATGGTCAGCAACTTTCCATGGGAAGGGATCATAGCTAGGTAAGGAAATAACTTCTCCCCCCCCCCCCCCGGGTCAGTGCTCGTACTAACAGCTGCCTCGCGAGGCTGCTGGGCCAGCACGGTGGGACCATCAGGAGAACCTGGACTGCAGCCCACCAGGTCCTTTGACTGGCTTTCTGCAGTGGCCGTGAAAACCATCTCCATCTTCCAACACCTGCTAGCTTTGTCCAAACCTGGTTTGTCACACAGCATGCTCTGAGGGCAGGAGGGGGAAGACACGGCGCCAGGGGAGGAGTTTGTGGAAAAAGCAAAAGGGCCATTGCGTTGCCTCCCCTTTCCTCCTTTCAGGGGTACGGAAGGTACCTCATGTTGTTCCCTCAGCCTCCTCACGCTGACAGTGGCCGCCTTCCCTGCCGCTGAGGGTCAAAGACCTCGTTGGCCTAGGCTCAGCCTCCTCACACTGACAGTGGCCGCCTTCCCTGCTGCTGAGGGTCAAAGACCTCGTTGGCCTAGGCCTGTCCACCCAGAAACCTTGGGAGGTCTGTTGGGTATAAAACTGTGCAGCTTCTGAGGCCGGTGCAGCCCTGATGTTATCATTGCTTCTCCCAGGTGTCACAGTCGGTGCTGCTTTGGGACAGAGACCTTTTTATAGCTCATGAGGGCTAAGGGACCCACCTTAGCCCTCATCAGCTAATAAACCGCCTTTTCATGCTTTCACATACTGCGAGGAGGAATGTTTCACTACCCGAAGAACTATAAAATCTAAAACTGGCAGCACTAAGGGAACACAATACGCACTATTC